GGGGTGGTTATTCCAGGACTTAGTCTGGTGTCCAACCTGATGTGGTCACTCTGGTCTGGCAGGGTCATCAACGCTGGCAAGAGCCGGCACAATGAGGACCAGGCTTGCTGTGAAGTGGTGTATGTGGAAGGCCGGAGGAGTGTTTCAGGGGCACCTAGCTCAGGCCAGGTAAGCCCCCAGCCCCCTTCCTAGCCTCCAGAGACAGGGTGACGCCTCTGCCCAGAGATTCTAGGCGTCCAGTTTTAAATCTGAAACGTGAAAGACCTACCTCCTAACTCTATCTAGCTCTCTATCACTAGCTATCTTCTGGCACAGGATCTTTATCTGGCATCAATCAGTTAGATTCTACCACGTCAGTATGAATGTAGTTTTCCACTTGAAAATGTAGATGCTCATGTATTTATGGATGATTTAATTCATCGCCGGTGCTTATTTTTGCATTGGTAATTAAGTCACCCATAAATATTTGAACAGCCTCTGAGTTTGGCTTTTTTGATGCTTTACTTTCCAATACAATGTAGGCCCTTGGTAAATGAGTGAATAAATCTAAGTTTCCTTTATTACTAAGCTCTGACCTCCTCTCTAATGTGTGCATGGGTGCCCAGAGGCTTGCTCTTCTCCCTGCATAACACACACACACACACAATCACTCATCTCTACTTTTCCTCCACCAGGGACTCTACTTCTACTACTGGGGTCTGTTTGATGGGCATGCAGGGGGTGGAGCTGCTGAAATGGCTTCCAGGCTCCTGCATCGCCACATTCGGGAGCAGCTGAAGGACCTAGTAGAGATACTCCAGGACCCCTCGCCACCTCCCCTTTGCCTCCCATCCACCCCGGGGACCCCAGGTTCCTCAGATCCCTGTCACTCGGTTGGTCCTCAGACCTGCTGGTCTTCGCAGAAGGAAGTGACCCATGAGAGCCTGGTAGTGGGGGCCATTGAGAACGCCTTCCAGCTCATGGTGAGTGGGTGGCCCGGGTCAGGGGCCTGCTAGGCAGATAGATACTCTGGTCAATTCTGTGTGGGAGTCAGACGGCCTGAGGGGTGACCCTGAGAACCTACAACACCTTTGAGAGCCTGAGCAGAGCTTGGTTCAGAGGGGAAGGAAAAGGAGGCATTACACCCATGTCTTCCCTCCTCTCCGCCAGTGTAGCTTGGCTGGGCTGGTTTACTTCTGCAGGTGGAGGGGCTGTATGCCTAGAACCTCTTCTTCATCCACCCCCTTTGACCCTTCCTCACATGGCAGGATGAGCAGATGGCCCGGGAGCGGCATGGCCACCAAGTGGAGGGGGGCTGCTGTGCACTGGTTGTGGTCTACTTGCTAGGCAAGGTGTACGTGGCCAATGCAGGTGACAGCAGGTATGGGGGGGGGGCTTTGAAAATGGCTAGAGGGGGTCACACTCTCTGGGATGGGGGAACAGGAGAGCAAGGTGGCAGGTGTTAAAAATCAAAAACTGGAGGCGGTCAGGAGGGATCACAGACATAAGGAAGGGCCTGAAATAGCCACAAGGGGAGGAAAGATGGGGGTCTGGGTGCGGGATCCTAAGGGTCATTTTGGGGAATGCCTGGTCTTTCTGGAATTCTCCACAAGGGGGCCAAGGAGAGCCAAGGCCCAACCTTGTCTTTCTCTGGGCAGAGCCATCATTGTCCGGAATGGTGAAATCATTCCAATGTCTCGGGAATTCACCCCAGAAACTGAGCGCCAGCGTCTTCAGCTGCTTGTAAGTAGGGACTTAACTCCTGACTCCCATCCTTTGCTGAGTCTCGTGCCTATTTGTACCCTACATCCTGACTCCCCCACCCCCACCACACAGATAGGCAGGGCCTTACCGGAGGAGTGTGGAGCTGAGCTGAGCTGTAGCAGGAAGGAGCAGGAGCGTGGGCTGCTCCGGTGCTCCCACAGTGGCCCCAGCTGAGGAAGGAAGTGGAGGCAGAGGCGGGGAGGGGACAGCAAAGGCCCCTGAGAAGCAGTATGGTTTGGAGCTTTAAGCCCTGGGCCTGGAGCTGGGCTGCCTGGGATTGAATCCTGGTTCAAGTACTTTGCTAATTGTGTGACTTTGACGGTTCCCTTAACTAGCATCAGTAGTTCCTGCCTTAAGGGTCGTTGTGATCAGTAAATGAGTTAATACCTGTTAATATTAGACAGTGTGTGGCATCTAGTAAACTCCATTGAAGGGTCTGCCATAAAATAAAGATCATTTAGACACCAGACCATGCTGTGAGCCTAATACCCCTTGGCCCTCTGCTCTGTCTGGCCACTCCCGACCCCAGGGCTTCCTGAAACCAGAGCTGCTGGGTGGTGAATTCACCCACCTTGAGTTCCCCCGCCGAGTTCAGCCCAAGGAGCTGGGCCACAGGATGCTGTACCGGGACCAGAACATGACCGGCTGGTAACACTTCCCTCAGAGCTGGGCCCGTTCCCATGGCAACACAACCAGTCCCTGGCCAGCAGCAAGGTGGAAGCTGGAGGCTGGGCCAGGCTGGGAGCTGGGGGGATGTGGCCCTTCTTAGGGGCTTGTGTGAGGAGCGTGGCTCCCAGGGGAGACAGGCTTTGATGCCTGGGTGATGCCTCCTCTACTCCCCCCTCCCCAGGGCCTACAAAAAGATCGAGCTGGAGGATCTCAGGTTTCCTCTGGTCTGTGGGGAGGGCAAAAAGGTAAACTCCATGGTAGAGGTGGGAGAGGGCAGGAGAACCCACTACAGGTTGTCTAGGGAGGTGGAGGTTCTCCCTGAGGGCAGGGGTGGGAGGGTCCATGGTTTCAGAGTCTGGGAGAGGGTTTTAGCAGCACTCTTGCCTCCTTTTATTTAGGCTCGGGTGATGGCCACCATTGGGGTGACCCGGGGCTTAGGAGACCATAACCTCAAGGTCTGCAGTTCCAGCCTGTCCATCAAGCCCTTCCTTTCCTGCTTCCCGGAGGTGAGCTGGATGGGCACCTCTTTAATCTCACCTTCCCGCTCTGGGGCTCAGGCTGGCTTTCACCCCAGGTCCCTTTATCCCCAAGCTCCTTCTCCACCCTCTTTCCCCACCAGGTACAAGTGTACGATCTGACACAGTATGAACACTGCCCTGACGACGTGCTGGTCCTGGGGACAGATGGTCTGTGGGATGTCACCAGTGACTGTGAGGTAGCTGCCACTGTGGACAGGGTGCTGTCGACCTATGAGCCCAATGACCCCAGCAGGTAGGGGTTGTATGGGCAGTGAGGGGTGACAATGGGGAAGGAAGGGGCAAAGGGAAGCAATGAGGGCCTGTGTATCTGTCTTTCCATGTACATGTTGGTACATGAATGTGCACGTGTGCTCCTGGCAGGTACACGGCTCTGGCCCAAGCTCTGGTCCTAGGGGCCCGGGGCACTCCCCGGGACCGTGGCTGGCGTCTCCCCAACAACAAGCTGGGTTCCGGGGATGACATCTCTGTCTTCATCATACCCCTGGGAGGGCCAGGCAGTTACTCCTGAGGGCCTGAGTCCCTGACCCCACCACCATCCCAGCCTCTCCCAACTCGAATTCTGAACTTCTGTCCCCCTGACCTTCTTTATTGGCAATTTAACTGAAGAAGGGGTGTCAGATAGATCCAAAAGTATAGCTACTGGCAAATAAACCAGATGGATAAAAACGTTGTCTTTATTTCTTTGAATAGAAACTGAAAGGTAACAGAAAGTTCTTTGGGGTGGTAGAAATACTCCAGAATGGTCCTAAAAATGTAGTGTTCCCAGCTTTTTTCTTCTGCCCTTTGCTCTTCCCACTCCACACGCTCTCATCCATTCTGTGGCTTCATCTACCCACTGGTGTCATCCAAGTCAGTATTTCCAGCCCAGACCTCTCCTGACCTTTAGACTCTCATGTTCCAGTAGTCTCTGGAACATGGAGGCATCCCTCAGGCACTTCAACTCAACATACCTCAAACTGAATTCACCATTTTCTCAACAAACATGTGCCTTCTGGTTCATCATCTCAGTGGGTACCAGCTCAGCTGCTCAAGCTGGTCTTGGAACTAGTCACTGCTGGCTTCCTTCTCTTCCTTATGAAGTGAATCACTAACTGTTTTTGATTATGTATTTTAAAAATATTTCATAATTGTCCACTTATTTTTACCCCGACTGTCACTACCTTAGTTCTTTACTGCATTAGCTTCCTAACGCATCTCCTATCTCTGTCTCCAGGCCACCCCGCAGTTTCCCCCAGTATACCAGGGACATAACAGACAGAGTGTCCTTTCTGCAGAGTGATTCTGTGTTGGCTGTTCCCTTGAGAGAACATTTTAGAAGCTCCTTACTCCCACTCCGAAGAACACTCAGTTCTTGAGTGTGGCATACAAGGACCTTCATGATCTGACCACTATTTCCTCTTCTAGCCTCCCCTCTCACCACCACTCTCTTGGGGTTTCCTTTCCATTACTGTGGGCCCATGGTAGCTCTAACCCATTTACAATCTACATATGACCTTGAACGCTTCACCTGTCCTTCAGGGCTGGGGATTCCACAGCCCATGCATGCCCCCCCTCCCCCAGCCTCCTGTCTTATTACTGTCTGTATTAGGAGTTGGTATGGAGTTAAGGGCCAGGGTTCTAGAGTTCTTCTGTTTGGGTTCTGGTGCCAGACCCAGCACTAGTTCTGCAAACTCTCTAAGCAAGTTGCTTCTCAGTAAAATGGAGATGACAGTCCTACCTTATAAGGTGGTTGTAAGACTAAAGTAGTTCATATATATAGAGCCGGGCCCATGCAATAACGGTTCATTAACTGTTACCTTTAAGTTATCTGTATTCTGAATTTAGACTGTAAGTTCTTTGAAGGCAAAGATAGATCTAAACTGAGCATATAGCTCTCACTTCACACTCAAGGCCTGGGGACCAAAGTGCTCTGGACTTTGGTGTCCTCATTAATCAAGTGTGTGGGTTGCACTTGAGATTTTAAAAGCCTATATGACTTCTAACATTCATTCATTCAGCAAATATTTGGTGAAAAACTACTACGTGCCACACACTGTGCTAGCCAGTGAGAAGGGACAGGCTGGAGGAGAGTAGGGGGCAGCAGGGACAGGGCACCAACTTTGGAACCAAGCAGACCCCAGTGTCTGGATTCTTGCTGGATCACACAGAAATTGCAATAGCGGGCAAACCACTTCTCTGAGCCTCAGTTTCTTAGAGGCAAAAGCGCATGGATATACTTACCCCAAAGATCTGTGATGCATAGTAAGAGGGCGGAGCTAGGTAGTGTACCCAGCACAAGCTAATACAATGTTGGTACCGACTCCTCAGCCACCTTGCAGGAAAGGAGATGCACGTTTAGGTGGATACCCCCCAGTGTGTTCACTCAGACCAGGCTCAGTTCCCTAGGCACAGAAATCATACTGTTCGGGTGGGAACTGAATTCCCAGCTGGGGATCTGGGTTTGCTGGAGCGCCCTTTGATGGGTAGGCAGGTAGGAACAGGACTCATGAAAAGTCCAGGCCGGAGGGAGCGGGGGGAAGGAAGGAAGTGGTGAAGTGGGACGGTGGCCTGAGTCCCAAAGGCTCCGAAAAGTTCTCAGGGCTGGGGGATGACGCTGGGCTGCACGGGCTCCGCCGCGACTCCGCGAGCGCAGGGTGGGCCTCGGCATCCCCACGGCC